ATGTATATTATATTGGCCCCCTTGTTGGTGTCTCCACCTTATCGTGGTGAGGGGGTTTGAGTATGCCAAGGACCCTGAGAGCTATACCAGCGGTAGCGTAACTACTGGCAGGGCCTCCCTTGCTGGACAGGTCAGAGGGTAGGCATCAGACGAAGAGAGACACCAAAAAATTTGCCTGAAGCAGCGTCATCAGCAGCGACTTGAAGCACAGAGCAAATGATGCTCGAGATGGTTCAAGTTCATATAGCAACAGGCGTGACCAGAGTGGTTTGAACGGCTGTTGTACTGCAATGTGGAAAGCAAACAGAAAAAACTACCATATTATCACTTTTCCTGGATAGTCTCTTTCCAAAAACAGAGATACCAAATGTGGTGTTGGAGAAGGATGGAGACGATCAGTAGGACCGATTATGGGAGAAATGAAGAAGTGTAATTTAGAGTTAGTGAGTAGAGGAATATCCTACACGAAATAAGAGAAAGATAGAGGGGCAGATAGAAGTGACCAGAAGACGAGGAAGAAGATATAAGAAGATGCTGGATGACTTTGGGGATAGAAGAGGATATTCTTATTTGAAGGAGAAAGCTCTAGATCGCATTAAGTGCAGGAACTGTTTTGGAAGAGACCGTGGACCTGTCGTCTGACATATTACTAATGAATGAATTAATTAATTATATTGAGGATTATTTATTAATAAGTCAAATATAGGGTCGTGTAAGTCTGGGAAGGTATCATTCATTTGCAGTTCCCTATTACTCATCTTATATTATGTGGAAACCTTCCAGAGTAGCAAATAAAAATTTGTAATATCTCCAATGTGTGTTCGATTGTGCCATACGTGTGTCCCGTTTCAAGTATATGTTCAGCATATTTTGAGGTTTGTTTGTTCTTACGATTATATCAACCCTTGAACAGGTGTCACATCTGGCCATTATACAACAGCAGACATTCATTACATTTCAGCTGGTAAAACCCACTTAATTGTATATATCAGTTATACGATTCTTTGGTTTCAGATTATGTTTCATAGTGTTCATAGATTTAAAGGCTATTTTAATATATGTATTTTTTTTAATAATTTTGCAATTATTCTACTTTTAGGGTCACAATATGTGAAGGTGGTCCATTTTTCCTTTCTTCTTCTTTTTGGTTGTATTTAATGGGTTTTTCATATGTTGATATTGTGTTGTGTTAGTTTTGTACTGTCAGTAGTGAGTGTTGGCTAGTATTTCATTTATAGTGTTTAATTCCAAAATGTTATTTTAATGGGTAATTGGGTACGTGGTCATTCGGTTTATTAAATACTTTATAGCAGTCTTTTATGTTCACTTGACTGACAAGAATCATTATACTCGTATATGATTAGGTCCCCAAGTTTCCGAAATTTGAATTTTGCGCGCGAATGGTTATGAGTACATCGAAATACTGCTAGGCGTTTCCTCACACATCCTTCTTGAATCAGTGTGGCAAGCGGCGTCGAGTTGAGTGGTTGGGTTTATTGTTGGTGAACGTATTTCCATTGTGTTTCCATGAGTTTGTGGTTTTGCGATGGCTGTCCTGAGAGAGCAGTGTGTCTGTATAAAGTTTTGTTTCAAACTTGGGAAAACCGCTTCAGAAATGCACCAAATGTTGAAGCAAGCTTTTGGTGAAAACAGTTTAGGTCAAACACAAACTTACAAGTGGTATAAGCGTTTAAAAATGGCCGAACATTGACTGATGATGACGATCGTTCGGGACGGCTGTCAACTGGCACCACACCAGAAAATGTTGTGAAAGTTAGGGATCCGATTCTGCAAGATTGTAGACTGACCATCCAAGACCTCTGTAGCACCTTGGGACTAAGTTATGGCACATGTCAACGAATTTTGTCAGAGGAACTGAACATGAGGAGGATTGCAGTGAAGTTTGTGCCACGACTGCTGCAAAATAAACAGAGGCAGCATCACTTGGAAGTCTGCAGGGAACTTCAGCAACAGCTTCAAGAGGATCCAAACTTTCTTTCGAAGGTTGTCCCTGGTGACGAAAGTTGGGTTTATGGCTATGACCCTGAAAGCAAGCAGCAATCGTCGCAATGGAAGGGCCCTTCTTCACCTTGGCCAAAAAAGCTCAACAGGTCAACAGCAACATTAAGTCCATGTTGATCTGTTTTTTTTTTTTATATTGACGAGATTGTTCATAAGGATTTTGTCCCTCCTGGTTAGACAGTCAATAAAGAGTTTTGTCACGATATTCAAAGGCGTTTGAGGGAGAACATGAGGAGAAAACGTCCAGAGAAGTGGCGCACGAACGACTGGGTACTCCACCATGACAACGCACAACTGCATACGGCTTACATTTTGCAGGAATTTAGGCNCATATCGAATGTCAGTTTGTTGTGATTGTGTGTGATGCTTAGATCTAGGTAGTTTAATGTATTGATATAATTAAAATGTCATCTAAATATGTATAGTAATCAATGATTTTGTGTTTATCTAGAATTTTGATAATTTTTGTGTGTTCCAAATGCTATAGAAAAGTTTCTGCTAAAATTGCTGATGTAGGCACTCCCATTGCCAGACCATTCTGTTTGTAAAATTGATCATTAAATTGCATGCAGTTATGTTAAAAGTTGGTATTTATCAAAATTTGTAATTCCTGTTTTTCCATTACTCTTGTTTGATTATCGTTGTTGAAGATTTATTTTATCAAGTTTTTTACTTCAACACTTGGTATATTAGTATATATGTTGATGATATCAAAAGAATCAATCTAAGACACACGCAACGCCCACACAAATAGATCACACCTGCATACTGTATGATAGTAAATAAGCAATAACACAATACAAGTTTCATTCATAATCAAATCTGTTTATATTTATAATCTTTACTTATAATAAGTACCAATTCATTCGCTCTTTACAGGTAATGCATTACAACCCATGTCCAAGACGTTAATTAGGATACAGATTAACATCTGAAATAGGCCCCAGGTCCATAATACTCTAACGAGATTTGCTACTGAAGATGCCATTCAGATTGTTAATTGGTTTATTTAACAACCTACAAGTTGTAGCTACAATTAATTATGACACTGTTACGGGTTTACACAATTTACAAACCCTACACACTAAACAATTCATTCTGTCCTAAGTAGTCTTCACGTATTTATAACATGGGAGCTATACGAGTGTCACTGTATTACAAACTCCCAATAACTTCTCACACTATCGGTATTCTTCACGTTCACGATTCGCTTGCTACAACTGAACTCGGCGACTGTTCCAATTGAACTCCTCCATAGTGCTATGCGTCACGATGCTTAAGTAATCACAGTTACATTTCATAACCATTTGTACCAAATGACCCCCCTAAAAGAAATAAATTAATGTAATACATTATGCATTTTCTAGATTCCACACAACACAACACTGGGCGAAAACATCCACATCATGAGAAGATAAAAACTACATAGATTCAAATGATCTACTACACATCAGAACCTTCAACTCCATATGAAGTACTAACTTCATGCCTCCATAATTGTATAAAACTGTTTTAATAATTTTAATATTTTAATACCTTCAACATTTTTAGTTATTTTACTCATGTAATATATCTAACTCTTAACTTGTATTATAAAGTCCTATATGGAAATATATAACACCCTATAATTACCTCCACTGATATTTTAAATACAAATACTTGTATACTCTTATTTCTAATATTTTTCTATATTTTAATTTTTATCGTAACACAAGGCACAGTTTTCTACAACTTTCATAATAGGACGCATTGCAACTAATTAACTTTATCGTATTAATTATATATATACACTGCCTGATGAAGGTCCCATGAGGACCGAAACATCTAGCGGTAACCAGTAGAATCTATGAGATAATGATTTAATTGTGATACCATCTTCCTTATTGTGTTGATGGATACGTTACCTAACCATATAGTTATGACACACACAACAGAATGCACATTATAAAGATTATCTGTTTTCCTTATCAATTGGTGTTATTTGTTCTGAGACACCGAATCAAAATAAAGTATCTCTAGGAGTTGTGCTTCATGGTCGGGCAAAGCCTTCGACAATGGTGTAAGAATATATGTTTCTAATTTTGAACTATCGATGAAAATATTATCAATTGCTGATATGGCAATATTTTGAATTCTTCTCAGAAAGTTTACAGAACTGGAGAGATTGTAGGATAACAGCCGAGAGTTTAAACACATTTTCCTGTTATTGTCAACAAGACAGTTTATATATAAGTTAACACAAATAACAAATTAATTTATTTTTGGTATGACTTTAGTCATTTTAAAAATAGAGAAAACTTCACAGATGGTGCTCTATATAAGGCTAAAATACATATACGATGCAAATACAGGCTACAGACACTGTACATGGAATTTTAGTCATAATTGTGCACATTAGGACTCTTAAGGTCTAATTATTCTCTGCCTATAGGGAATGGAGCCATTTAAATATTCTCCATTACTGAAAGGTTAAGTTTAAGTTGTAAAGACAAGGTGAACACAGTAAATAATTACCACAACAAGAAGGCATTAGAGGCCTTAGTAGTGAAGTTCCAGTCATTCTTCACTCTGACATAAGATAAAAAATATTCCACTTTGTACTTTAAATGCTGTAGTCAAGTCAAAGTCAAAGTCACATTGCGACTGACAGTCAGTCAGTCAGTCAGTCAGTCAGTCAGTCAGTAAGTCTTCCCCATGTGGGGCTCATGACCAGATATTAATTATTACTGTTTGACAGTTATGGTCTTTTTTCTGTGTTGCGGCCTCTCTGATGAGAGGATGGGTCTGTCTTTTGTATATGCTGCTGGTCCTTGTCAGCGCAGTCGCTCTTGGGTCCAAGTAGTAGCTCTTGATTGATATTTAAAGGAACATTGAAATTTTCATATCTCAATTACAAGACATAGTAGGAAAACTATTGCGGATTTCAAGTATTTTTAATTTACATCAGAAGTACAGGAATCTGAAAAATTAAAATTTACCTGACAAATAACTGATTCATCACTTGGATTAACGCTTTCTAATACTGCTCCAGATTCAGAATCAACGAATTCTCCGTTGATAAACAGTTGATGAGGGAATGAAACGTCCATGTTGTTAACATACAATTTAATGTAGGCGTGTTTAACTTCTTTTTTAGCAATATCACCCCTTGACTTCAGGATCACCATTTCGCCAAATTCTTTGAATGTTGTAGCCATGAACAAATCTTCATTCATAATTGTAATTTTAAGATTATCTTTGATTTCTTCGACTAATCTATAAAACAAAAATATAATTAAATTCTGAAACATCCTGTTCTAGCAATGATAGGCAACTGGATTGCTTCATTATATATTCTAGGAATGCAAGACTTTTGGTTTAATTTTGAGATTTATTAGGTATAAAATTATGCCTGAATGATGATGTTTTCTGATTACTGAATCAATATTAGTAATAGGATAACATAGACAGGGGAGCATTTGAATGGTAATGTTTTATAATAACTAAATAAATTTTATTTGTAGAAAAATACAGACAGGGCCAAGAGTCTGTAACAAAATGAACCATTACTTCAAACCAATTTCACAAGGAACCACTCTTGAACTAGTCCTATGAATATGTTCACGCTTACCAACAGTGCTGCTACTTCTTTCAAATGATATGTCCCACACTTTACCTATAAACAGATTGAGAACAAGTTTTAATTTTATACATTCTTATAAAATTAGTTTCTTATATTTACCGAACAACATCCATGGAACCTGCACCAGTTGCAAAAAAGTCTGTATTTTGTTGTACTCTGATGTTTAGAATTCCTTCCCAAATTAACTTTAGTGCATTAAAAATCTTCTTCTCATTTTCAGTCACCTGTAATGATTCACGATTCCTGTTCATTTTGCCATATTTAGCAGCAGGTATCATGCGACCACCTACCACAATTCTCTGGATATTCACCTGAAATAAAAAGAAGTTTCCTCTGGTAACATTTTAATGACAACATTTTGAAATTGGGCTTAATTATGATTATTGCAGTGATTTTTAACATTTTGCACAGATTAAGTACATGAATGCAGAGAGTTATTATGACATCCCTTGATTCAGTAGTCTGTCTGTGCATCTGTACATTCCTCAAACTGGTTTGATGTAATAAGTCTTTATTGTCCAGAATCTTTGGAGCTATGTCTCCACTCCCCCATGTATCTTCATGATTTGGCATCTAATTAAGCACACATATTTTCAAGTATCTATATGCTGAAATGTTTAATTACACACTTAATTACTTACTAACTTACAGATGGAGCTAAGCCCTTCTTCAGGAGCAGCCAATTCTGCAGCTACTCAAGAATTTCTCCGCATTTTATGGAACCCAAAGGTTCATTACCGCGCTAAGAAGAGCCCTCCACTGGTCCCTGTCCTGAGCCAGATCAATCCAATCCATACCATCCCATTCTATCTCTCTAAGATCCATTTTAATATTGTCCACACGACTAATCCTATAAGCATTCCTCGTCTCCCCCCATTCATATTACATGCTCTGCTCACCTCATCCTCCTTCACCTGATCATTCTAATTGTACTTGGAGAAGAGTACAACTTCTGATGCTCCTCATTATGCAGTTTGCTCAGACCTCCAGTCCCTTCATCTCTCTTCGGTTCAAATATTCTCCTCAACAACCTATTCTCAAACACCCTCAGTCTATGTTCCTCCCTTAATGTCAGAAACCAAGTTTCACACCTGTACAGAACCACAGGCAAAATTATAGTTTTGTATATTATAATTTTTATGTTTTTGGAGAGCAGACGAGAAGACAAAAGTTTATGGACTGAAGGGTAGCAAACATTACCCGTGTTCAGTCTTCTCTTAATTTCCTCCTGAATCAGGGTTTGATTTATTATCATTGTACCCAAATATGTGAACTGTGCCACATTTTCAAAACATCTGTTTTCTATCGTTATGTCATGATTTTGCCATGAATTTTGGTGACAAGGCAGCAACATATACTTAGTTTTCTATGTGTTTACTTCTAGACCAACCTCCTTACTTGCGTCAATTAAAGTTTGTATGTTTTTCTTTATGGTATCTATATAATCACTGGGTAGATTCACATCATCGGCATAGACCAGCAGCTGATGTGTCTCGTTTAATTTCAGTCCCACCTGTTTTTCCTGGACCTTCCTAATGGTATATTCTAAAGCAAAGTTGAAAAGGGGTAGCGATAAAGCATCACCTTGTTTTAGACCATTCTGGATAGGAAATTTATCAGACAAATGTTTACCTAAATGGACTTTACTGTACGTTTCGTTTAAACACATTTGAATTATACACAGCCTTACTATATTTACCAGTGATCCATCCTTGCAAGTTACTAGCAGGCCTTCTGGATGTACAATTCCTTTATGGACAAGTCCTTGTATTTCCACAAAATCTCCGTCTGGTTTAGGTTTGTTCCACAGCTGTGAACCGAAGAACTTCACCTTTTCATTATTCAGTAGAGCCCAAGCTCCTGGTGCACTGTCCAATCCACGAATAAAATTGTGGACAGCTGATGACGGCTGATCCCATTTGATCTGGTTGAAAGAAAACCATCATTCACAGTTTAAATAAAATTATGGCTAATTAGGGGCTCCGCATAAAATTGAACCATAATATTAGCTACTGTCCATGATGTGTATGTATTGACCGTCTTCTAGTGCACACAATCTCACTTGTCACTTCACTATATGTTTCAGCATCACTGTGCCATCCTCAGATGTGTTATTTATGTTAAACTATTGCACTGCTCGCCATCATGTGTCATTTATAAAATAATTTAAAATGTATATTAGTCATGTACTATAATAAAATTTATATATTAAAATTTGTTAAGATTTATCATCTTATACGTCATATTTCAAACTCGCGTATTCTATCATTCTTCCGCTATGGGAGTCGTTTTTCCTATATTTTGTGTATACTGTGTCCTGTGATGTATCCTTTTGTGGCTGCGTGTGTTGTACTGTAGAAATACAATACAGGTTTCAAGAAGCTTTTAAAGATAAGCTTATTTTTCATGAAAATTATGTCAGCTTATTATAGGGTAGGTGATGTTGATGGACCCAACTACCGATAGAATTAGTAATATTTGCAATCAGTGCATGAAGGATTCTACTGACACACTGTGTTTCCACCTGAAGTAGGAACATTATGGTTCCACTTTTTAGACAGAAAATGAGTTGAACTATAAACATATATGGAAAAAGAATGGATAGAAGATTAAGGTAAATAAAATGAACACTTCAGAAGACCAACACTGCAAACAAGGTAACCATAAATGATTAGTTTCTGTCAACATAATTCCTGTATAAACTTAATATATTTATACTGTTTTTAGTTCACACAATGTTTTGGCCATTTATGGCTATCATCAACTAAATCTTTTTACAGTCACACTCAGCCTCGTGAGGAAAATTCAGGAGCTACTTGAATGGAAATGTAGCCGCTCCGGTCTAGAAAACAGAAATGAACGGCCATGGGGATTCATTGCGCTGACAACGCAACACCCTCTATCCGCTAAAATTGGCACTAACTTTGCCGACAAGCAGCGGTAGCTCGGTTGGTATTGTTCGCTTGCTGACTAAAGCCTCGGAATTTGTTTGTTTTATTAATGCCAGCTGCAGTTCATGTGCCTAACACACTGTGGCATATGGAAAACATCATGATGTGCGGTAAAATGTGAGTTCAGTTATCCAAATTTCGCAGCAGGAAACTACACTTTACTTTACAACATTCTATTTACACGTACTTATGGTTGGTCAAGCATGTATGAAACCTCTTCTGTTGATGTAGCAGTCACCAGCCTCAGTGTTGCTGTTAGAAGTGCCATGAAGCAGGCAATTCCTTGTGGGTATCGCTGCAAGTCTAAATTCCCTCACTGCTTCTCCTATACCTTAAGGTATTACATCACCAAGAAGAATTATTTCCACCGTCGTTTTAAAAAGAATCCTTCTGATTACTTTTACGGCAGGTTCGCCTATTATCGAAAGCTAGTTAAAAACACCATCAAGTCCGACAGGCTTAGGTGGTTGAAGTCAGTTGATAACAATTTAAAGTCACAGCCCCAACATTTCTGGAAAATGATGCATTCGCTGAGCACTTTATATCTGTTTACAATAACCACTGCTCTAAGATCATTCACCTCTCTCGCAATCTTCTGAATTTTTATCCCTTGCCCCCATTTCTGATGCGGATGTCTACAAAGCCATCAAGAGACTAAATCATCAAAATTTGTTGGGCTTGATGGTATTCCTGGTTTTATCATCAATGGTTGTGCAGCTATTTTTATTCCTATACTTAGGCATATACACGTATTTAACTTGAGCCTGATGCAGCAGTATTTTCCTGCTGCATGGAAAGGCTCTTCTGTTGTACCAGTATTTAAAAAAGGCAATCATGCAACTGTGAGCAACTACAGGCCTATTTCTATTCTCAGTAATTTCTCTAAATTGTTTGAATTCATTATTCATGATCATGTTTCTCATTTCGCTAAATTTAATTTCAACCAACATGGCTTTACCAGAACTAAATCTACAGTTACCAATTTGGTGACGTTTCTCGACTTCTTGATGCCTGTTGTCTGTGGTCAGCATCAAACTGATGCCGTTTATTTTGATCTTTCTAATGACTTGACCTCGTTCCTCATAATATGCTCTTGCATAAATTAAGCTCCTTTGGATTCTATGATGCTTATGTTAGCTGGTTTCGCAGTTACTTTGCCAACAGACAATCTCGGGTTCGCGTTTCTGGC